GCTAACACTGAAGTTCTGATGCTATTGACCTTAGTCTCATCCACGGGACTCAGTGTGACCATCATGAGGCTTCATTCATTCATGCTATGCTCAACTGTGAAGGCAAAAACCTGCAAGGTTTAAAAAGTATGAATGGGCTGAGTGTGAGTATGGTGGCTCACACCTGTAATTTCAGCACTTTGAGAGGCTGAGGTACAAGGATCACTTGAGCCCAGGAATTCAAGACCAGCCTGGGCAACACAACAAAACCCCATCTCTCAAAAAAAAATACAAAAAGTAGCCGGGCATGGTGACGTACACCTGTAGTCCCAGCTACCTGAGAGGCTGAGGAAGGAGGATCACTTGATCCCAGGAGGTCAAGGCTGCAGTGAGCCAAGATGGCACCACTGTACCAAGCCTGGGCAACAAAGTGAGACCTTTTTTCAATAATAAAATAAAATAAAATAAAAACTATTAATAACGCCAGGCGTAGTGGCTAACGTCTGTAATCCCAGCACATGGGGAGGATGGGGCAGGTGGATCATGAGGTCAGGAGTTCAAGAGCAGCCTGGCCAACGTGGTGAAACCCTATCTCTACTAAAAATACAAAAATTAGGCGGGCATGGTAGCAGACACCTGTAATCCCAGCTACTCAGGAGGCTGAGGCAGGGAACTGCTTGAACCTGGGAGGCGGAGGTTGCAGTGAGCCGAGATCGTGCCACTGCACTCCATCCTGGTGACAGCGCGAGAATTCGTCTCAAAAATAAATAAATAAATGACAAAAAACAAGAACCTAATATACTTGGGACAAACACTCGTTTAAGGGCCAATTGAGGGTTTTTCCAAAGCCAGTCATTCAGCTGATGCAACAAAATACTGCCACTCTATTTAAGGATTAAAAATCCTTGTTCTCTTGCCCCTGTAATAATCCAGAATCAGTTCACAGATATAAAAAGTGTCAATTGCTCCAGAATTGCTGAATCAGCTTAGGCATGGGGCCCTTACCCAAAAGCAAACATCTCCCTCCAATCTGTTTCTTACTGGTAAACAAAGGTCAAAACATCTCTACTGCCCACCTAAGATGCAACAAACACAATAGGGATGAGCCCTCACCAAGCCCGGGGGTTTCCAGCCTGCCATTTCAGGATCCCACAAGTAGCAATGGGGGGAGGGGTACACGTGAATTTTACAACATCTAAAAAGAGTCAAAGGCAGCAGTGCAGTCCCCCAGGCGTCGCAGGGGCTAACCCAACATTCCATTGAGTCTGGCTGAAAATCAACCCAGCGCGGAACCACTGGAATCTCTCGTGGCGCCATAAACCCATGGCAGCATTGCAGACGGCAGACCTCGGCGAAATGCGTAAGGAAACCCAGACCGATGAGGGGGCGGGGCCACGCCCAATAGGCCACGCCCCGCGGTCCGGAGCGCGCGCGCGCCCGCCCTCCCCGATGAATGGAGACGCGCGCTTTCGGCGCACGGGCCCGCCCCGGGGCTCCCGCGGGGCCGAGCCCGAGGAGGGCGAGGACGCGCTGCAGGCTACCTCGGAGCCGATCATGTAGAACTCGCCGTCATCCTCCAGCTGGAACTTCACGGGCTTCTGCCCGAAGGTCTTGCTCAGCGCCATCATCATCATTGCGGCGGCAGAGACGGGCGGCCGGAGCCGGTCTGCGAGGGATCCGGAGGGCTGGGGTGGGGCCTGGGCGCGGCCGGGGCGTGCCGGGCCGAGGGAAACCGAAGCCAGAAGGCGAAATGCGCAACGGGCCGGGTACCCGCGCCTCAGCCGGGTTCCTCAGCCGCCGCCACCGCAGACGAGGACCAGGCCGCCCTCAGTGCGCAGGCGCTGGCGTTGACGCTGACGCGCGCGCCGCCGCTCAAACAAAAGGCTGGGCGCGCCTCCGCGGACCCCTTAAAGGAGCCACGACTAATTTCTCTCCCTCCCAGGCTACCTCCCAAGTCGTGGTGTAGAAAGGAACGCTTCTCACGGACAAAAATAGCCACTGCTTTCCCAGTCTTACAGCCAGGACTGGAACGGAGCCCAGGGGAAAAGAAACGAAGTGAGGCTTGAAGGAGAAGGACCTAGTATCTGGAAGCCTGAGTGGTCTGGGCATGTTTGGGACCCCAGGCTCGTGCCTTAGCTTCCCACCCCTAAAACAGGCAATGCAACTGAGCAGATAGGCGGGCCCCTAGGAACAGATATCCCAGTTCCGGGCCTACGGCTGTTTCTGCAGCTGTGGAGGTGGGCAAAATGACAACAGCGGATAAGGACTGGCAATATTCAAAGGCCCAGATGGTATTTGGTTTGGCTGGTGTATCAGATGAGCATGGGAGGGAAGGGACACTTTCCACCTCCATTCCTTTCTCAGCTCTGCACTCTGCTTACCTGAGCCCTGCAGTGGGACGGGAAACCAGGCTCCGCCTCTTGGCTCCTACAGCCCGAAGCTAGTGAAACTAATGAAAGTCTCAAAGCAATCATGTATCTGATTGAATAATGCAGTGAGTAAAAAAGTGGCCCACCACTGATGATTTCATACGGTTCAGTCTATTGAATAAATTGCAGCTGTGGCTGGGCACAGTGGCTCATGCCAACTCTCCCAACTCTCCAGGAGTTTAAGACCAGACTGGACAACGCAGCAAGTCCCTGTCTCTACAAAAATTTTAAAATAAATAAGCCGGGTATGGCGTGGTGGTGTGCACCTGTAGCCACAGCTACTTGGGAGGGGGAGAGGGGAAGATCCCTTGAGCCCAGGAGTTCAAGGTTATAGTGAGCTGATTGCACCACTGCGCTCCAGCCTGGGCAACAAAGGGAGAACCTGTCTCTCTTAAAAAAAAAAAAAAAAATGCAACTATGATAAATGCTATTACAGAGACACACATGGGGTTGGAAGGTAGGACAAGGAGGCCCTGGAGATTTGGGAAGGGCAGTGACTGAAGTTGATTTCTTCTGTGGCCTCACAGTGGTGGGAAACCAAAGTACAGTCACCCCTCAGTATCCATGGGAATTGGTTCCAGGACCCCGGAAGATAACGAAGTCCACAGATCCTCAAGTCCCTTATATAAAATGGTGTCGTACTTGCATATAACCTGCATACGTTTTCCTGTATACCTTAAATCATCTATAGATTCCTTATATTACCTAATGCAGTGCAAATGCTGTATAAATAGTTGTTATACTATATTGCTTAGGGAGCAATGACGAGGAAAAAAGTCTGTACATTTTCAGTACAGAGGCAACCATCCTTTAATTAATTAATTTTTTGATATGGAGTTTTGCTCTCGTCACCCAGGCTGGAATGCAGTGCCACTATCTCGGCTCACTGTAACCTCCTCCTCCTAAGTTCAAGCAATTCTCCTGCCTCACCCTCCCAAGTAGCTGGGATTACAGGCTCCCGCCACCACACCCAGCTAATTTTTGTATTTTTCGTAGAGATGGGGTTTCACCATGTTGGCCAGGCTGGTCTCAAACTCCTGACCTCAGGTGATCCACCCACCTCGGTCTCCCAAAGAGCTGGGATTTCAGGCATGAGCCACTGCACCCAGCAGCATCTTTTTTTTTTTTTTTTTTTTTTTTTTGAGACGGAGTTTCACTCTCGTTACCCAGGCTGGAGTGCAATGGCGCAATCTCGGCTCACCGCAACCTCCGCCTCCTGGGTTCAGGCAATTCTCCTGCCTCAGCCTCCTGAGTAGCTGGGATTACAGGCATGCGCCACCATGCCCAGCTGATTTTTTGTATTTTTAGTAGAGACGGGGTTTCACCATGTTGACCAGGATGGTCTCGATCTCTTGACCTCGTGATCCACCCGCCTCGGCCTCCCAAAGTACTGGGATTACAGGCGTGAGCTACCGCGCCCGGCTTTTTAGCATCCTTTTTTTAAACATTTTTTTTCTACCCGAGGTTAGTTGAGTCTATGGATGCAGAAACCACAGCTATGTATGGAAGGCTCAGTGTGTTTCTCGATGGGCTGGGCCGTGGCAGGAGCAGATAAAATGACCACCACTCTAGAGGATGAACGGAGGGGACAAGTAGGAAGTGGCCAGCCAGTTAAGAAGCCACTGTAGCAAAATGTGATGTAATGGAGCAAAAGGAGCCCTGAGCACTGTGCCCAGCCCCAAGGGCCAGAGGGTTGGGTTGGGGGACTGTGACCCTGGCTCCCAGGATAGGGCTGGACAGAGGCCAGGCCTCCCGATCCTGGCTGAACATTCACAAAAAGAGACCAAGCAGGCAAGTAGAAAACAACTGTGTTTAATGACGATCCTCAGTTAAAAAAAAAAAAAAAAGGCTTTGTACACACTGTACACATATTTACAATGGCTTTGGAGGACAGCAGTGCTACGGTAAGGGCTTCAGGAGGATCCGGCCCGGGACAGGATTGAGGTATGTTGCAGCCTCCAGGGCCCGGGGTCTCCCACAGGAAGAATCCCCCTCCCCAGTTAACTGTGAGCTCTTTGGCCTGGATTCTGGAGAACAGATTGCCAGGATTGTCAGCCAGAAGTCAGACAGATGCAAGCACCTACCAAGAGCTGACCTCAGGAAACAGCCCTGCCCTACGGCCCAGTGGCTCAGCCAGGGCTGAAGGCCAGCACCTTGCTTCGGTGCCAGCTCCTAGCAGGAACCTCACAACAGGGATAGAGCAAGGACACTCCAGTTCCCCCAGCCCTGCCGTGGTGCTACCCTGAGGGACAGGGATAGAGACAGGGCAGCCAGGTTTTCCAGGACCTGCATAGCTGGCCCAAGACTGCCCTTCCTCTTAGGTCATGCCAAAGCCTCCCTGCCCAGTCTGAGACGGTCGCTGGCAGGTAACCACGACCTGCGTGGCCCTCCCTGCAGTTGTCATGGTGGTTGTACCCCACCCCATCCCCCCTGAGGAGACATGGGCTCAGTCCTATGCCTGATGCCTACAGCCGCAAAGATGGCCGTGGGTCTCTAGCCTGATATCCGTGGCCTGGCAGGGGTCAGCACCCCTGAGGGCATCCAAGCCATGGTCAGAGGAAAGTGTTGGCAGGCTCAGCACAGCCGAAGAAGTCAGGACCCACAAGACGGGGGAAACCTTCCAGAGCCTTCACCTTCACAGGGTCAAACTTCCAGTAGAGGCGGCCGCGCAGGAAGTAGGCGTAGCCTGAGAAGAGAACGTGGTCAAGCCTGGGCGAGTGGACACTGGGCCCTAATCCTGCCTGTCAGGCTGTGCCAGGGATAGGCACTAAGGGAGGGCTGCGTGGGCAGGCCTTGGCCACTGCTGAGTTCCTCGAGGAAGGAGAATCCAGGGCCAACCTTTCAGAACCTCTCTTCCCTCTAGGGAGCCCTTCTGCCTGCCCCAGAGTCTGGGCTGGGTTAGTACTCAGCCTGACAGGTACCCAGAGCCTCAGAGGCCCGAGTCCCACCTCTCAGTCCCATTGCCCCCACCACCCTCCACATCATACTCTCCTGTACCCGCTAGCCAGGATATTGATGGGCATCCTGGAGTCCTGGGGCTGGAGGCTGCCGTAGGATAGCTCTCCCAGCCAGTCCTGATGTGGGAGACAGAGGACAGAAGAGGGGCCCAGCAGCAGAGGGAGTACTGGACTTCGAGTCCCGGCCCTCTGTGGTTGTGGGAGACTGGGTGGGTCAGTGGTTAGGAGCAGGGACCACCAGGGTGGAAGGCCAGGTTAGGGGCCTCAGGGCCCGAGCCTCTGTTTGCTCCTCCGGAAACTGGGTTGACAACAGGTGTCACATCAGAGGGCTGTTCTAGGAACTGGATGGGACCACTAAGGAGCTTAGAGCATTGTTGGCTCTCAGTGCACAGCAGTTGATTGTTCTACTAGCTGTGGCTGAGGAACCAGGGTAAGACCTTGCCCCTCTCTGACCCTGTCTCCTTGTCTGCAACACTACCCGGCCACCGAGAGGAGGGCAGATGGCACTGGACAAAGGACCTGTAATGAAGAACCAGGCCTCCTGTTGCAGGCATGTGGGACATGAGGCTGCTGCGCCCACCTCCCACCAGCTGCCCCTCCCCCAGCGCACCGTCAGCATCCTGGAAGGCAGCGTCGATCTCAGAAGGTACACCTCGCCAGTCAGTGGCCCTGCGGGGCACAGAACTGTCTACACGCCGGGTGCTGGGGTGGAAACGCCAGTAGTCCCTGCCTCGGAAGAAGTAGATCTTGTTCTTCTCGGGACCCCAGACCAAGGCAGCATGGACCGGGGACCTCACCAGGCCCAGCTCGGTGAGGGGTGCAGGGCCCAGGACTGGCTTCTCACCGTCGTATACCCAGTACTGAGCACCTGCCGAAGAGGGAAGGCTGCAAGGACCTGCCCAGCCACCACTGCCATGCCCAGCCACGGTGGACCTGCTTGGCCACCACCACAGACTCTTCCAGCCTCAGTTTCCTCATTAGTAAAACATGCAGGCCAATAATGCCTGCTCAGCACCCCACCCACGGAGGGAAGTGGGAGGCCTGGGATAAGCTACGGCGGTGAATGCTCTGTAAATTGCACCTGGGTGAGGTTCCTCTCTGCCTGGGCTCCTGCTCCTTCCACTGGCATTTGGCTGTGACAAATGCCTGCTGACCACTCTCTGGGCCTCTGCAGGCCGGGCTGCCCTGGAACCCATGCAGCTTTCCCAGGCCGTGCCTTCATTTGTGAAGTCCCTGGCATCTGCAATGCTCTAGGCTCTCTCCTCCGCCAGTTGAAGATGGAAATCCCAGCTCTGGGATGACAGACCTGGATCAGTTTCCTGTCCTGCCTCTTCCCAGCTGCGCTCTGGGTGAGTCATTTCACTGCCTCTGAGCCCCAGAGGCCTCATCTCCAGAACCCCACCCCATGGGTAGGTTTGAGGGTTGAATGCACCAACACGTGGCCCCACCTTGCAATCCCTTCCACGCTACTCCTAGCTCAAGAGCACAGCCTCCTAGCTGTGCCTGAGGAATGAGCCACACTCTCTCCCTTGGCCCCCAGTTTTTGGGGAACCTCTCCCTGTCCACTGTATCCCTGAGGATCCATCTGTCTGTCCCTGCCCTTGGCCATGACATTCCTGGCTCTGGGAAGTCTCTCAAGCAGATCCCCAACGCCCACTCACCTTGGAAGAACCAAATGTGGCCCTGGGCATCCTCGAAGGCAGCATCCACAGGGCTGGGCAGTCCCTGCCAGTGGCGAGAGGCCAATGCCGGGTAGCCAGGCTGCAGCTGGCCCCCACGCAGTCTCCACACGAAGCCCGCTTTGAAGAAAAAGAGCTCGCCTCGGATGGTGGCAACCGCGTCAAAGGAGGCCTCACAGACATCTGGTGGGGCTTCCGGCTGTGGGGGGAGAGAGGGACACATGCTGAGGGCACATGCTACAGCCACAGTGGCCAGGAGAGGAGTGGGGGAACGGCGGACGGGGCCTTACCTCCAGCGGTGCAATCTCATTGGTGTCTATCCCAGCCTGGGGGCCCTGGGCTGGGGTCCTGGGGGAGACAGTGGGCCGGGGCTGGCCATATAGGTGTTGGATGCCCCTGCGGTCATCTGGGCTGAGACTCAGTGGGTAGCGAAAGGTGTAGAAAGCAGACATCAGGGCCTTGGCTTCTTTTGTGTGTTGCAGCCCCAGAACATGGCCAAATTCATGGGCTGCTACCTGCAGCAGGTCTGTGCCTGGAAAAGGGAGGTGGCTCAGCAACCCCCGAACCTTCTACCCAGGACAGGACACCCAGCTCCAGACCCCAGCTCAGTGACCTTGGTGAGTCCCCATTCTCTCTTTTTAATTATTTTTATTTTTTGAGATGGAGTCTCACTCTGTTGCCTAGGCTATAGGGCAGTGGTGCGTTCTCGGCTCACTGCAGCCTCCACCTCCCAGGTTCAAGTGATTTTCCTGTCTCAGCCTCCTGATTAGCTGGGACAACAAGTGTGTGCCACTGTGCCCAGCTGATTTTTTATATTTTTAGTAGAGATGGGGTTTCACCATGTTAACCAGGATGGTCTCAATCTCCTGACCTCATGATCCACCCGCCTCGGCCTCACAAAGTGCTGGGATTACAGGCGTGAGCCACCGTGTCCGGCTGGCAAGTCCCCAGTCTCTATGATCTTCTGTTGCCCCATCTGGAAAAGGGGTCCCCAGCCCATACCCTGGTCGTCCCCGACAGTCCAGGTCTCATCATAGTCGAAGTGGACGTCCCCTTCTCTGTGGGTCTTAGGGAAGAAGGCATGGGCCAGGATGCCCCCAGGCCCATCAAACGGCAGGTTGTCTCCATGCCAGTACCTACAGATGGGTGGGGGCGGGGTCAGTGGCTGCTGGCAGGTGGGGCTGTTCCTGGAGGGGTCCCAGGCTGCCCATTCACCTGGCAAAGTCGATCATGATGTCAGCACGGCCCTCATGAACCTCAGTGAAGGTGAGTGGTGTCACGTCGCTCCACACCCTTAGGGCCTCTGCCATCGTCTGCCGCACCTGCTCCTGTACCAGCTGCCATGGAAACCGGAGGATCCTGGAGGGGGATGGAGGGGCCTGGGCCTCAGGGCAGGAATAGCCCCTCATGGCTGAGGCACCAGGATGCTGGGTGGGTGTGTGAACACCAGGGACACAGGCCAGGTGTGTTCTGGGCCTCAGCTGCAGTGCACTGGTGTCCCTGGCTACACAGGCACATGTGTATGTGGTTTGCTCACACTCGGGCAGTGTCTGCATTCAGTGGAAAGAACCAGCACCAGGGGGCCCAAGGCCCCCGTCCTAGACCTGACAGTGCCACTCACTATGGGGAGACCTTGGCTCCTTAAGCCCCCATTGGTTCCCTGGCCCCCACCTAGGAAATTCGGAAGACCCCAGTCTCAGCTCCAGTGCTGTGTGACACCAACCCATTCTTCACTCCCAGGCTGGGTCCCCACCCACAGGATATGTGAGCCCCAGCTTCCCCATGACCTGCCCAGGGTCCTCCCAGGTCATCCAGTGACATGCCCACTTTTGCCTCTTCCTGCTTACCACTGTCTCCACTTGCTCTAAGCCCAAATGGTGATGGTAGAGTTGGACAATGACATGGCTGACACCCACCGCAGACTGACAGGATGGGGCTGTGTCTGCCTCATTCACCATGGATTCCCAGAGCCTGGTCCTCACAGGTCCCTAGTAATGGCTGCCTGAGTGACTGAACACCCATCCGCAGGCATGTGCTGGGACTCTTTGCATGATGACAGAGGCACTGCCCCTCTGCTGAGGGAGGGTCTCCGTGGGTGTGTGTCTGAGTTGGGGCTTCAGGGTGTTTGCCCATAGATGGCCTCCCTGGGGTTCAGCAGGCACACAGGTCTGTTAGACACGAAGATCTAGCCCTGGTCTGTGTCTCAAGCAGCAGCTATGAGGGCGGCCAGCTCACCCGCGGACACATAGGTGGCATCCTAGTGTCCTGCTCCCAGGCCCCTACCTGTAGGTGAGGTCCGTCTTCTCCCAGCGCCCGCCAGACAGCACAAACCTCTTCTGTCGGTTGCGGGCACTCAGCCTATTGGGTGGGTCAGGTACGCCGCAGCGGGGAGGCCTAAGGCTGCTGGCAGGCCGGGGGGCCTCCTGCGTGGCAGGAGCAAGTGCCAGACTACTGGACAGGGCTGCATGCCAGGGCTGTGGCCCCCTCCTCTCAGCATGGCGGTGGTGGGCATTCTAGACAGGAGAGATGACAGGAGGGTCTGGTCAGGCCTAAGGTTCGCATAGCCCACAGTTAGAGGCGTGGCCTGTCAGCACACCCACGTGCAATCCCAGCCCAGTGTGTGGCTGGGCAAATGGGGAGGGAAGGGGCCTGGGCACATGGCAGGGTCCTTTGGCATCTGGCTGGCTCTCTGGTTTCCTGGCACCTTGTTCCAAGGTATCAAGCTGTCCCCCACTCCTGGAGGGCCCTGGGCTGCCTGTCACCTACTCCAGCTACTTAAGCCAATGAGGTCTGGGGTGGGGGCACACTGGGACTGGCTATGAGCCACACACTCCAGGAATGGGCCTCAAAAAGCTTCCTCCAAGGGAGCACCAGGCGAGCTCCTCCTGCTCCCCACAGAAACGTGCTTCCAGCTCCCTTTCTTCCTGTGTCCGCTAAGTTCAAACACACTTGGGTCACCCCCCATGCTGCTGTCCCCAGTCCCCGTCATGTGAACAGGCTCCGCCCTCTCTCCTGCCCAGGATTCTCCCACCTCCTCCCCATCATGGAGCCAGCAGAGTGGCCTAAGTCGGTGTGACCTGACTGCTGTGGTGACACTGATTTGTGGACTGGACAAGGTGAGGCATATACAGCACCTAGCACAGGCCCAGCACCCGGGAGGGCACCTGGCCACTGAGGCCTGGCTTCTAGCAGAGGCAGTTTTGCTCACACCACACCAGGGCTAGGAGTACAGTGGGAGCTGGATCTGTGATCTGCCTGCCCTCTTCAAGCGGGGAGGGTGGGGACAGTTAATAACCAAGTGACCAGCCCCACCCGCCAAAGCCCCAGGACCTCAGATGATGATTCAGACCTGAGCTACATCCACCTACCCTCTGTAAGTCTCCAGGGCAGAAGTTACAGTTCTTGTGCATGAGAAAAGCAGAAGCTCAGAGAGGTTGGGAGACCCTGCAAAGTCACCCAGCAAGGGTGTGGCAAAGCCAGGCCAGGACCCTGGCAGCCCAGGCCTAAGGCTAAGGCCTGGCTCTGGACACAGCACAGAGGCCAAGTCCCCTTCCTGCACTGGAGGAGAGGGATGGAGCTGTACTGTTTGCTGAGAGGCTCAGCACCTAGCTGGGCTGGGCCACTGCAGCCTCCCCACAGCCATATTTGGGCCAGGAGCTCGGCCACTCAGGCCCTGCCTCAGCCTCAGCCTTTGGCAGCAATCCCAGACTCCAGACACCCCAGGGATCTGATCAGCATCCCAGCGCGCCCTGCCCCCAACCCCAGAGCTGGGGAGTCAAGAACACCCCACCATGAAGGGGAGCCTTCTGAACATGGAGGCTATGGAACTACGAAGGGGGTGAGGCCTGCAGCAGCTGCGCCCCCAGTTTCCGAGCTTGCTCAATGCATAGTTACCTGCCAGAGCGCAGTCTCACTGAGTCATGGGTTCTGGCTGATTCTGGCCTCATTGGTTTTTTGTTGTTGTTGTTTTGTTTTTTTGAGACAGAGTTTCGCTCTTGTTGCCCAGGCTGGAGTGCAGTGGCACCATCTCGGCTCACCGCAACCTCCACCTCCCGGCTTCAAGCGATTTTTCGGCCTCTGCCTCGGCCTCCGCCTCCCGAGTAGCTGGGATGCCTGGCTAACTTTTGTATTTTTAGTAGAGACGGGGTTTTGCCATGTTGGTCAGGCTGGTCTTGAACTCCTGACCTCAAGGGATCCACTTGTCTCGGCCTCCCAAAGTGTTGAGATTACAGCCGTGAGCCACTGCAGCCGGCCCGGGCTTACTGTTAATAAGTACTTATCACTGTTTCGGGCGACGACCTTGGCAACAGCTCCATGGACTTGCTCTTAGCCCCTGAGGGAACCTCTCACCAACTCCACCATCATCAACCCCAGTGGGCCTCAGAGGCGTTAAGCAGCTTGTTCAGAGAACAGCTGGCAGGCAGCAGACTGTGCTCACAGCCCACCCGGCTCCCTTCTACCTCTGCTCTGCTCTGCAGGGGTTAAGTCACCCTTCCCCTGGAGCAGGGACCCAGGCTGGCCTCACCTTGGTGACAGAAGAGATGGAACTCCAAATTATTCAGCACCTGCGACCTCCCGGGCCCTTTGCAGGCAGGTTCATTGTGCTTCCAGTACCCACCAGGGAGGTGGCGATGCTACATATCCAAGTTCTCCCATGGAGGACATGGGCTGACACAAGGGCCTGTCCCCCTCCTCCTGGCCACACTGCCCCCTTGACCTACAGAAGAAACAGATTCCTTTCCCCAGCCTGGCAGAGGTATGAAGACCCTCCCTGGAAAGGGCAGAGATGTACTGTCCCCTGGCAGCTCCAAACAGCCCAGAGCCCAGCCTGCCAGGTCTGTCTAAGCCCATAGCCATAAATCTCCTCTCTCCTCTGCCCTCCAGTGAGGCCTGGTACAGACAGCCATGGAGGGAGTGACATGGACATGCCTCACCCCCTCCACTGTCGCTTCCTGTCCTTCCCCCATGAGGTACCCAGTCCATGCCCAATGCCCTAGATCATAACAGTCTTAGCGTAGCAAAAAGAGCCAGCCACTGAGCTTCAGAGGGCCTCGTTCTATGCCATGGAGACTCTAGACAAGTCATCTTCCTCTCTTAGCCTCAATTTTCCTATCTGTCAAATGGGGATGGTGCTGCAGCAAAGGACTACATGACATTCTTCTGTAATGCCTGCTGCAGCATCCAGCACAGGGAAGCACCTCTTACTGGCCCTGTTCCTTGTCCCCTCCCATGCTTGGGAATCTACGCTTGCCAGTCCCTACTGCTACCATCACCCACCTGCCCTCCAGCTCCCCAGCAAAATCTCCAGGCTTTAAATGGTAGAACAAAAGTCAAAGCTAGAAGAGAGCTTTCAGGCCTAGAGAAGAAAAGTGCCTTGTGCAGGGTCTCCTGGCATATCAAGGTCTCTTCTCCATGTCCATGTCTCGTTCATTAAATTCATAGAAAGTGAGTGAGCAGGAGAGGCTAGAAACGAGGCCTCTAGCTAGTGAGGTTGTTTTTAGAGCCCATGAGCTCTTGGCCTCAGTTTCTCCATGGCTGGGATAGGACACACACTCTTTGCCTCACGCCAGATGCCCTAACTACAAGGCCTGGCATGAAGCAGCTTGCTCCTTGTGAGACAGGTGAGCTTGGTCTTCCCAGGACTCTTGGGTGAGGTGAGGTGGCAGGCATAGGCCACTCCTGGCCTCATCTACAACTCTGGGGAGTTTGAGGAACAGGCAGCTCCCCCATTTCCCAGAGGATGAGACAGAGCCCAGAGAGGTCAAGGACTTTGCCCGGGATCACACAGCAAGTCACGCAAGAGCTGGGCCTAGATCTGGGGCTCATGCCTCCCACCTCCAGAGCTTCCTCCTGTCTCCTTAGCTCTTGGCTTTTCTCCAAAACCCACTTTCCCAAGAAGCATTTCTGCTTTAATGCATTCCCTCTGTCTTGGCCAGTAGCCTCCCTTGGCCTGCCCTGTGGTGGGTTCATAGCTCACTTGGCCCCACCCTCCTCTGGCAGGCACCAAACCTCAGCCTCAGACACATTCAAGGAATTTCTCAGCTGACCCAGTGTCCTGGCAGAGCTGAGACTCAGAGTCACCCCCACCCTGGGGGTCAACTTGCAATCCCGAAAATGGGAGGCACCAGATAGAGGGGAGATAAGGGGAAACTCCAGGCTGCCAGGAAGCCATGGGGGAAAGCCAGGCTAGCTGTGCCCCTTTCTGGGTCTCAGTTTGCAGGCGGTCCAGTGGGTATAATTAATCATAGTTATGCCTTCTGATGTCAGTGGGAGGCGGGCCTTCAAGGAGGGCACTTGTCAGGCTATGGAGGAAAGTGGGAGCATCACCATGCAGGTATGTAGCATCACGCCTCTGTGAGGCTCAGCGAGGTCAAGCAACCTGCCCAACTGGCACAGCCAGTTGGCAAGCAGGGAGATCTCCCCGAAGCTTCCACCTAATCTTCCTATTCTCACACCTCTCCTGCTGGCTCCAGAAGGGATGGTAGCTTTGTCCCATCCATCGAGCTGCAGGGCTTCCATCAACCCTGAAAGCTGGGAACTGGGCTGAATAAATATTTACAGAGCTCTCCCGGCCCTGCTGAAGGCAGCCTAGCAATAAATATATCAGAGGTGACCCCAAATGCTCCCTGCATGTTTGCAGAGTGACAGACCACAGTCCAGCTCAGACCCCACCCCAGGCTGGCCCCCAGCTCCAGTGCTGACCGTGCACAAGCATCAAAGTGGCAGCTACAGGTGGCAGTGTCTCCAGCGTGCCTGGCATCACCTCATTGCTCAGCAGTGGGCACAGCAGTAGGTACCGTTGCTCCCTCCCACCCTCACCCCCATTAGAGATGGAGTGGGTGAGATTCTGAGGCACAGGAGGATTCACCCAGGGTCACATGGTTCGAACCCAGAGCTCTCCAGTTTCCAAACCTGTGGGTTCAACGGTTACCCACAGTGATTCCTGACTCTGTCCCAAGTCCTAGGGGACCAAGAGGGGCAGGGGAAGAGGCAGGACTCCAGACTGAAATGCCCCCATCCACTCTACCCAACCCATCCCATCCCTTTCTGCACCCATAGCCAGCATAGGATAAGGCTGCCCAGGGCAGAGCTGGAGTGGCTGGACAGAGGGTCCCAGCATGGCCAGGCCTCCCTCCTCACCAGACCAGTCCTGAGACTCCTGCCTGTCACCCGCTCCTGCTCCCTTCCCTGCCAGAGCTGTCTGGATGCCTCCGCTGTGGGGTGGAGCCGCCCAGACACCCAACGAGCTGTGGACCCACAGTGGCCCAGGCTGGGACTGGTGCCCAGAGGTGCCCCAGGGTAGGGGCAGCTTTTGGGACACATGCAAGCTATCAGGCACACTCCATGGCAGACTCTGCTGTCCTCTCCTACCTGGGCTTGCTTCTCTCCTAAGCACATATTTTTTCCTTTTCCTTTCCCTGCTTCTTTCTGACAGCCACCTCTCAGTCACACACACACTGCACTCATACTGTTTCATTCTCGTGTACTCCTGGCTCCAAGCCTCCCGAAGCTGCTGCCGGCAGGTGCCCGCGGGGGACATCTCCAGGCTCGGACCCCATTTCCCACAGCACAGCGCCGCCCTCCCCAGCTCTCCCTTTATCCTCCATCCATCGCGCACCTGGAGGTGTGCTAACTGCGGCCACACACCTGCAGGCTGACACCTGCCTGGGACCTGCTCGGCTTTGTTCCTGCGATGAATAGGGGCCCCTGTAACCACTCCCTCCGCTACCTCCCCAACGCATACTCCAGCACCCGTGGCTGGAGCTCGAGGGGCAGGTCCCCACGCTGGGAGCAAGCGTGAGTCCAGCGTGGAGTCCCCACCGGCCCGAGCGATGCCGGCGCCGGCTCTACTTCACACCCCTAGGGAACGGAAGCTCGCTGTCTGTCACGCCCACAGGGAACCAGAAAGCGTTTCGGGTACCGGGCGCAGGAGGCCACCCGGGGCCCCCCCTTGGGTCCGGATCCGCCGCTGGGCCCAGCCCGCGTGCCCGGCGCCCCCTCGGCGAGTGACGGGCACTCACCAGCGGCCGAGCCCGGGCCAGCAGCAGCGGCGGCTGGAGCAGCAGCAGCAGCAGCAGCAGCGACGGGAGCAGGAGGGCGCGCGAGGCCGCGCTGCGGAGCCAGGAGGCCGGAGCCATCCGCCCCGGGGCTGCTGGGCTTGCCGGGACGCGCGGAGCCACCGCCCCTTATAGCCTCCGCCCCACCCCCCCGCCCCCGGCCCGCCCCGGCCCCGCCCCCCGCCGCCTTTTGTTCTAAACTCTCCTAGCCACCCCGACCGGGGTGAGGAAGGTGGACGGGGAGGGCACAGACCGGCGGGTCGATAGCCGGAGGCAGGGTCCTGCCCCAGATCTGGCCAAGTCCCTGTCTGGTGCTGGGTGACACTGGCCAAACCCGTGCTGCTCTGGGCCTCAGTTTCTCTGATGGGTGGTGGGCGTCCAAAGCCTTAGACTTGGCTAGAGTCTGAGAGGAGTCGGGTTTCATGGGTCCCATCCCTACCCCCACCTTTGGAAAGCACATCCCACCGAGTCTCCTTGGTGGCCTGACCTCTGACCTCTGCTACAGGTGGTCCTACCCACAAGCAAGTTATCCCGCCCCTCAGAGCCTCAGCGGATTTTCTGGAAGATGACACCACAGCCCCTGTGAGGAAAGGGATATTATTTTATTTATTATTACTTTTTTTTTTTTTTTTTGAGACACTGTCTCTCTCTGTCTCCCAGGCTAGAGTGCAGTGGTGTGATCTCCACTCACTGCAACCTCCACCTCCCAGGTTCAAGAGATTCTCCTGCCTCAGCCTCCCAAGTGGCTGGGACAACAGACATACGCCATCATGCCTGGCTAATTTTTGTATTTTTAGTAGAGACACGGTTTCTCCTTGTTGCCCAGGCTGGTCTTGAACTCCTGACCTTGAGTGATCTGCCTGCCTTGGCCTCCCAAAGTGCTGGGATTACAGGTGTGAGCCACCGCGCCCAGCCAGGAAAGGGATATTAAAATGTGTCCCGGGGAAAGTGAGGCATATGGCAGGGACTGGCCAGTCCTTCAGCTTGGGGCAGACCAAAGTTTACAGATAGGGAAACCGAGGCTCCGAAAGGGAGGGGCCAGGCTTTTCCATACCAGCAGGCAAGTGGAGGGATCAGGAGGTCCTCTAGCTGGTTAGCTGGCGGGGAAGATGCTGTCAGAAGGCTGTGGGAGGTGTCTGAGTGGAGTACTGGGCCCCTAGGGTGTCCCCTGGCAGAGTTCCACAAGCCCCTGCGGACCCGAGACTTAAAGAAAGGAGGTAAGAATCAAAGGAGGGGGTGTGTCCACATTCTGGAAGGGATCCTCCAGTCTGATCCCTGATTTTTGGCGTTACCCAATCCTGCCGTACACCCTCTGAAATGATGAAGGGCCTCATCACCTCACCAGGCAATCTGCTCCATCATGGGTGGCCCTGCACAGCCAAGATCCAGGCAGTGGCTCCCGTCCTGGCAGGCAGAGCTCTGAGCTACTCTAAGGTGAGGCGGTTGTCAGGGAGCCTGAGCCATGAAAGGGAAGCAGGTGGGGAAACGCTGCACAGTTTATCCAAGAAGACTTCATAGAGACTCCTAGAGGCGAGGAGAAGTAAGACAGCAGTGATTTTTACAGCCTAGGCTGTTAGACTGCTGGCAATCTTTTCTTTCTTTCTTCTTTTTTTGAGGCAGAGTTTCACTCTTGTTACCCAGGCTGAAGTGCAATGGTGCGATCTCAGCTCACTGTAACCTCTGCCTCCTGGGTTCAAGCGGTTCTCCAGCCTCAGCCTCCCAAGTAGCTGGGATTACAGGTGCCCACAACACCACCCAGCTAATTTTTGCATTTTTAGAAGAGACGGGGTTTCTCCATGTTGGCTAAGCTGGTCTTGAACTTCCGACCTCAGGTGATCCGCCCACCTTGGCCTCCCAAAGCGCTGGGATTACAGGCGTGAGCCACGCTCCCAGCCGGCAATCTTTTTTTTTACTCATTTTTACTTATTTTTATCATTTTGAGACAAGGTCTTGCTCTGTCACTCAGGTTGGAGTGCAATACTGTGCCGTTGGCTCACTGCAACCTCCACTTTCCAGGCTCAAACGATCCTCCTGCCTTGGCCTCCCAGGCAGCTGGGACTACAGGTGTGCATCACTATTCCCTGTTAATTTTTGTATTTTTTTGTAGAGACAGGGTTTCACCATGTTGGCCAGGCTGGTTTCGATCTCCTGGACTCAAGCAATATGCCCACCTAGGCCTCTCAAAGTTCTGGGATATAGACATGAGCCACTGTTCCCTGCTAGAGTAACTCACTTTTTAAAAGTAGGCCTTTTGCCAGGTGCGGTGGCTCACGCTTGTAATCCCAGCACTTTGGGAGACTGAGGCAGGCAGATCATTTGAGGTCAGGAGTTCAAGACCAGCCTGACCAACATGGTGAAACCCCGTCTTAACTAAAAATACAAAAATTAGCTGGTCATGGTGGTGTATGCCTGTAGTCCTAGCTACTTGGGAGGCTGAGACAGGAGAATCACTTGAACCTGGGAGGCGGAGGTTGCAGTGAGTGGAGATTGATCCACGGCATTCCAGTTTGGGTGACAAAGTGAGACTCTATTAAAAAAAAAAAAGTAGGCATTTCAATGGTTGCTTGAGTCCTTTCAGCCTCATTTTCATTTGTGTAACTCACTTAAATGGTCTTGGGTGCCTCTGAGGTGCAAGGCCATGCCTTGCGGAACCTGCAGTCCATCAGCCATGGGAGCTGAAGTTAACAACTCTCTGCAGTTTAGGCCCAGGGGATCACCAAGACAAGAGAGTGTTCAGTTTGTTTGGTTTGGCAAACAGGAACCAAGTGGGCAGGGACTGCCTGAGCAAGGGAGGCTGGACCAGGTCTGGTGAGTCTGCCAGGAAAGAATGGCCCACGCTTTGTGTGCTTACCTCACTGGGAGGCCACCCTCAAGGTGGGTGGTCACCCCCCTTCAGAGAGGAGAAACTGAAGACGGGCTGGGGAAGAGCTCTATTCACAGGCTGGCTGAACAGACAGCAGTGTGTGAGCACAGGGCTGCATATGGCTTCCATGTAGAGCATGCATGGCTGGGGACAGCTGTGCACACACAGAACTGAGCATGCCAGGCAGGGCCAAACGCCCCAGCCACCGCTCCCCTTGCCCCTCAGCCTCCTCCTTCCTTACAGAAGGGCCTCCTGTCTTGTGTGGTGACTCACAACCCCACTTGTGGGTGCTTTTGGTCTTGGTGCACCCTGCCCACAATCCCGGTGCCAGGAGTCCTCTGCCAGCAAGCAAACAGTAGTGAGGGACAGTCCCTGCCCTCCGCCACCTAGGAGTAATAATACAACCGCTACAAAGTCACCCAGAAAAGTCTATGAAAACCTCAAGTTTGGCAGGGCGCGGTGGCTCACGCCTGTAATCCCAGCACTCTGGGAGGCTGAGGTGGGTGGATCACGAGGTCAGGAGTTCAAGACCAGACTGGCTAACATGGTGAAACCTCATCTCCACTTAAAATAAAAAATCAGCTAGGCATGGTGGCGGGTGCCTGTAGTCCCAGCTACTCAGGAGGCTGAGGCAGGAGAATCGCTTGAACCCGGGAGGCAGAGGTTGCAGTGAGCTGAGATGGCACCATTGCACTCCAGCCTCGGCCACAGAGCAAGACTCCGTCTCAAAAAAATTAATAAATAAAAATTAAAACCTCAAGTTCCCGAAGAGCAAGAAAGCGTTCTAAATCCGTGCTCCAGCTCACCTTCTTGGCCTGGCACCAAGGTGCTAAAATTGCAAGGCCGCAGGATTCAAACTTGTGCTAGGTTTGACGGAGCCAGGCAAACGCTGCTAGGCCTTTGGGATAGATACGCTGCTTGGATGTCTCCTAAAGGCCATCAGTGTCCAGTGCTGCACCCGCGGGGCCTGGAACTAGGTGGGGTGGGCCGGCCCGGGGGTCAGGCGGGGTTGAGGGCCGCGCGGGGGTCCTCATCTCATCCCCCGCAGGCGCTACGCAAGGCTGCCGGCGCCAGCAGCGCATTTTGGCCCGGAGAGTCGAAGACGGATTGGGACGCCCCCTCGTGGGGGTTCTGGGGATGGGTCGCTCCAGGCCTTCCCCAGGGCTGCGCTTTTCAGCTCTAGGCCACCGAGACCCCGAGGTCACGCGGTGGTCAGCAGACCCCGTCTGGTGGGAGGGGGCAGAGGGCGGAGCCCGGCCTGGAGCCTCGCGTGCCCTCCCCGGCTGGCCCTAGCCCGTCGCCTCCCCGTCTCCTCTCCCCTCCAGGGATCGCAAAACCCCCAACTCCGCTCCCTGCGCTCTGCAGTGGTCCTAACAGAAGGAACTGTCGCCCTCTTTGAGCCCTTGGTGCTTTGCGGCACTGGCCCGTGGTCCCCAGAACCCGCACAGCCTGCCAGGCGCAGGGAGGGAACAGGGTCCCATTTCCAGACGAGACAGGCGCGGAGATCCAGAGCTGCTGGAAGGGAGAGGTGCGGAGGACACCAGAAGGGCGGCAGGCTAGGGGGCAGGGCCTCCCGCGGGGGGCGTGTCCCCGAGGCCCCGCCCAGGCCCCGCCTCCTCGCGCCGGGAGTGACAATCGCTGCGGCGTTTATCCCTGCGACAGAACCGCCGCCGCCGTCTCTAGGTCGCCCGGGTCCCACCGCCGCCACCATGCCTCGGGGAAGCCGCAGCGTGGCCGCCCGGCCAGTCAGGTGTGAGGGGGCCAGGGGCCGGTGGGGAGGGCGTTAGGGTAGTGTCGGCACTCCCCCAAGGGCGTCCGCAGAGTGACCTTGGCTGCTGCTGCGCCATCTTGGCGGGGGGAGGGGAGAGAATGCAGCACCCACGTGTGACGACAGGGGTCGTCCACCTCTCCGGGGGCCGTTTCCAGGAGCTGCAGCCCCCGGCCTGGGGTCTGGCCAGGATTAACCCTGCTTCCTCCCACCCCCACAGCCGCCCCGCCGCGCCCTCTGCCCACCCGCCCGCGCACCCACCGCCCTCGGCAGCAGCCCCGGCTCCCGCCCCTTCGGGCCAGCCGGGCCTCATGGCTCAGATGGCATCCACGGCCGCAGGGGTAGCCGTGGGCTCGGCTGTTGGACATGTCATGGGCAGCGCCCTGACCGGAGCCTTGAGCGGGGGGAGCTCGGAGCCGGCCCAGCCTGCCGCCCAGCAGGTGAGCAACGGGTCCCAGAGAAGCTGAGGCAGGATTCTCTGCAGGCCATACAGGGAGCTGCCCAAGTGTCCAGTGAGGAAGGTCCAGTGTGTTCACCCTTGTCTCAGCCCGGGACTCTTTGCCCAGGAAGGACCCTCCTCCTCTGACCTTGAGTTCATTGTCACTTAAAGGCGGGCTTCCCTGCCCCTCCTTTGAGGCCAGGGTCCCTAAGCTCCCAGAGAGAAACACCAAGCAGCCCTTTAAAGATGGGAAACCCAGGTCCTGGGGGCTTAGAGACTGGAGCAAGGTCACCTCACCCTAGCAGAAGGGAGGGATGTTGGATTTCCTGAGCCCCTGTTCTCCCTACACCCAGGTCTGGACATCGTGACCGCTGGGCCCACGGGTGAAGGTCAGCCACTTCTCTGATGACCTTTCCCCAACTGGGGACCCAACCGGCCCTAAGCCAAATGCGCTGTGTGGCTAGGTCAGGGGTCATGAGGATTAATGTGGCTGAACCAGGAAGGTGCTAGAACTTGTGGGGGTGGGGCTCATACTCTGAGAGCACAGGCAGAGCACTGGGCTTTTCTAGAGCCTTCTCCTCCCTCCCCTGCCCCCGCCCAACGTGCCTGTTAGAATGCACAGAAACATGCTGTCTGTGGCCACCTCCGCTGCTGAGTCACTCAGCCTGCCTAGGACCCTTGGGACACCCAGGCTGGGGATGTAGGGAGGAGCAGGTGGTCCCCAGCTTTGAAACCCACCTCCAGGTACCAACTCCAAGCTGATCCTGCACCCTCTTGCACTGTACCCTCAGGCCCCCACCCATGCTGCCTCCCAGCCCCTGCAGATGGGGCCCTGCGCCTATGAGATCAGACAGTTCCTCGACTGTTCCACCACTCAGAGTGACCTGTCCCTGTGTGAGGGCTTCAGCGAGGTCCTGAAGCAGTGCAAGTACAACCATGGTGAGTGAGTGGACCCCGACCCAGGCGGGGTTGGGGAGAGGCAGACCCTCCTCTTGTACCTGCAGGCTGACCAGCAGCCTGTGCTGCCCTTCCCTCCGCAGGTTTGAGCTCCCTGCCCTGAAGATGTCGGTGCACTCAGGGGCCAGCCCTGCATCGACCTCTGCCCCTCATCAACAGCTAGACCACAAGACTAGATTGTATGCAGATAGCTGGGATTGCAAGTGAGGAGGAGGTTTCTCACCCCACAGTTAACCCAAGACACAAATGTGCAAGTAAAAGAATTTATTTTAGACCACATCTTGTCGTGTGCCTCTCTCAATGGCTGGTCTTCAGGGAGCTCCCTGGCTGATGAGGTGGGGTCAGGATGGATATCTCACTAAGTGTGCAATCCATCACCTTACTCAGGGCCCTGGATGGGGAGGGGGAGCCCTGTTGCCATCTGCACCGTGGGTAGCACAGGACAGATGCCCTGGACAGTCCAGAGTGGTGTGGAGAGACATTAGCAGGTAATCCCAAGTGCACCTGACTCTGAGGGTGAAATCCCAGGATGAACCCATCATCTCCCCCTTTTCAGAAATGTCTGCCACCCTTTTTTTTTTTTTTTTTGAGATGGAGTCTTGCTCTGTCGCCCAGGCTGAAGCAGCACAATCTCAGCTCACTGCAACCTCCGCCTCCTGGGTTCAAGCGATTCCCCTGCCTCAGCCTCTTGATGAGACTAGGCATGAGCCACCACGCCTGGCTAATTTAACCTCTACCCTTCTTGTCTCTGCTTCTGCATCCTATTCTCTGCACCCACAGCTTCAGGGCCCCCAGCGTCCTCACATCCTGTCTGACCTTGCCCCTCTTGCTGATGCAACTTCTCAGCATTTCCAGATTCTGCAAGAGGATCCCTGCTGGGTTGCTGTCTGTTTGCACCTGATCACACGAGACAGAGGTCATGGCTAACCCCCTTGGGTCTGAGTCCAACTTGGCTAGCTGGCAGTAGTATGCCAGGTCCCCGGGCTTGCCAGAACAGAGGAACAGGACCTTCAAACCCAGTGCGGGCCGTGCCATCACACACATGCTGCCGCATCATTGAGTTCGTCCAGCAGTTGTGCACTGAGCTCCTACTGTGTGCCAGGCCCTATGCCACATCTGTGAAGCCTGAGGACATTGCTGCCCTTCATGCACTGGCACTCCAGTGGGGTGGCAGGGACCTGTCTCAGGGTACAGTGTGCCCCATCTTGGGGCATATGTGCGTGGAGTTGGTGTGGAGGGTCTGCCCCTCATCATATGTGTCTGGCCTGCAGGTAGGGGTCCCACTCTGGGTGTCTCCCTGGGTGTCCATATCTCCTCCGTACCTGGCTCCTGGTCCCAGCTAGCAACTCCTGGGTGGCAGGGAGCTCACCTTTCTGGATCTTGAAGCAGGGCTTTGCTCATGGTGGCCACGCCGAGTGCCCATGCGCTTCCTCCGGTCATGGCCCGCAGAGGAGAGGCCTGCCAGCCTGCGCAGTTCCTCTGGAAGGCCCAAGAAGTCCTGCTGGTAGGGGCTGGGGAGAAGTTGTGCCCTCCCCCTGGGCTGTGCCCTGACACTCACCTGCCAGCTCTGGGTAGTGGTCATCCAGGTTCTCCAGTAGGGACTCATAGCGGGTGGGGGCCATGCCCTCTCCCTCTGTGGCATGTGGAGAAAGGATGAAGGACACCTGACTGGCCTGATGGTCCCTACTCTGCCTCTCTGGAACTGTTTGCTAGTCCAGGCTGGGGGCAGAGCATTGGGTGGGGATGGGTTGGGGCTAGGTCCCCAGCCAAGGTGTGAGGCTGGGCAGGGTCTTGGGTGGTCTCTGCTCTGCTACGCCCCCCTCTTACATTCTAACATAGCTGCAGGGGAGAGAGCCTTGGGCCACCTTACTGATGATGCGAACGAGGACATAGGTGGCTCGCTCCTTCAGCAGGGAGCTGCCCATGGTGGGGGCGCCTGAAGCCGCTTCCTTCAGGTCCTCCTCCAGGCTCACGAGCTTGCCGTCCTCAGCCAGGAGAGCAAGGGTCACTGGGAGGACATGGAGAGAGGCTGGGCAGGGCTGGCACCCCTGCCTGGGACCCCTCAGCCCCTCCTTCTCCCTGCCTCCTCACCATCTGGGAGCAATCCTGCTTTCTGCCTCAGGTGGGCTGTGAGGTTCACCAGTCTGCAGGAGGTGTTCACCAGCACGAAGCTGCCGGCTGTGGAGGAGTGGCAGAGGTGAGCGGGTGGGATCCCAGACTTTCCTGGAAATCTGGGTCCTCTGTCTCTCCCGTCTCTCCCTTTCCCAGAGTTGCGACTGGGCTTATGGGGCTAGGACTGCCCCAGGCACAACGGCTCCGACATCTGTGGCTTAAGCTGCCTTGGAAAGACCCCTCCATCCATCTCCCAAGTGTTGGTGTCTTGGGGCCCGCAAAGCATGAAGTGCGCGCCAGCCCCGCCTCCCCGCGGGCCCCGCCCTCCGCACCCACCGGTTCCCCTCTTCCCCTCCGCTGCTCCCGCACTGGACCGACCCGCCTCCAGCCAGAGGGACGGGGAACAGGCCACTGGCTAGAGTTTCAGGTGTCTGATGCACGCTGAAGTTTGAGGATCACGGATTGAATGGCAAACAGATTGTGCGATTTAAAACCCTGCTGCAGGGCGGTGCGGCGGGCGCTGGCCGAGAGGAGCCCTCGTGAATGAGCAGGCAAACTCAGCTCGGGTTTTCTCTGAAAGGGACTCGCTCCAGGTGCTCGCTTTGCCTCCTCACAGAGCCGCTTCCCCGACCCCCGCCATCTGCACCCCCCTTTCCCGCCAATGCCTGTCCACCCTCCCCAAGGGCGGAAGGAAGCTAGCCTCAGTGTGCTCATCCCCACCCGCCTGCCAAGACAGAGGCCCCCACTTACCCCCAAACATCACCTTGATAAACATAGCTGCAGTGGGGGAGAGCGATGTGGGGGGCTTTGATCCCCCAAATCCCGATTCCCCAACTAAGGAAAAACCTGGAGCTGAGACCTGCTCCAGCGCGGGGCTCTGGAGGGAGAAGTGGATGTGTGAGTGTGGATGGGTGGGTGGTCCCAGGGCCCGGCCCCTGCTCAGCCACCTCCGTGGTTCTGCTGCATCAGCCTAGCTCAAACCCTGCCGCTAGCTAGTCCAAGACTCCTGGCCTCTTCCCACTGCGCCCTGGGCCACAGCAGCTCCCTTAAGCTTCCAGGCTAGTCTCCATGGCACTGGGGGCGGAGACATCTAGGCAGGAAATGCCTTCCTCCCTGCATCCGTTAATGGAATACTGGGGCCAATGTGGGAGGGGTGGAAGGAGAAGCGGGGGCTGGCATTCCCTGCCTCAGGGATTGGAGCCATCGTTGGGATTGGAGCCTGGCCCCCAGGGCGGTTTCTCCAGCGGCATCTCCACCCTCTGTGTGTGGTCTCTACCCACTCAAGTTCCCTTCCCTGGCTGGTTTCCTGTCTCTCTCCACCTTCCTCCTCACTCCCAGCCATTCCCCTCTTTTCTTCTCTACTTGTTTTTTTTTTTTTTCTGTTCTTGCTAGTCAGGTTTATTGAGGTATATTTATTTTATTTCATTTCAAAAAAAAATTTTTTTTTTTTAAGGGAGAGTCTCCCTGTGTTGCCCAGGCTGGTCTCGAACTTCTGGGCTCAAGCAATTCTCCTGCCTCAGCCTCCCAAAGTGCTAGGATTGCAGGTATGAGCTACCTCCCGCCACCTGAAGTATAATTTACATACAGTACCGTAAAGTTCACTCTTTCTGGTGCTTTCAAGTTTTGCCAACTCTCATATAACCACCACCACAGTCAAGATACAGAACATTTCCATCGCCCCCAAATTCCTTTGCCCCATTCATAGTCAGCCCTAGTTGGTTCCAGGTCCATAGCAGGTCCTTGTTAGCCCTCACCACTAGCTAGTCCCTCACACCAGTTCTCACCGTCATTTCCTGTCTTTTATTTATTTATGTATGATTTTTATTTATTTTTTCAAGACAGACTCTCCACCTAGGCTAGAGTGCAGTGGCATGATCTTAGCTCACTGCAACCTCCACCTCCCGAGTTCAAGCAATTCTGCCTCAGCCTCCCCAGTAGCTGGGATTAAAGGCATGCGCCACCATGCCCAGCTCATTTTTTGTATTTTTAGTAGAGATGGGGTTTCATCATGTTGGACAGGCTGGACTGGAACTCCTGACCTCAGGTGCTGCCTGCCTCGGCCCCCAAAAGTGCTTGAATTACAGGCAGGAGCCACCGCGCCCAGCCATTTCTTGTCTTTTTTTTTTTTTTTAAAAGACTGAGGTTTCACCATGTTGGTCAGGCTGGGCTTGAACTCCTGACCTCAGGTGATCCGCCCGCCTTGGCTTCCAAAGTGCTTGGATTACAGGCGTGAGCCACCGCGCCCGGCCCATTTCTCGTCTTTTACATTTTTCTGCTTCTCCCAGTCTCTCCCCTTCTAGTTCCCCTCCTGTCTTCCTCTTCTTTCTGTCTAGGTTTCACTTCCCTTTCTTTCCCTTCATTCCCCACTCCTTCCCTCTCTCCATCTCACCCTCTCTCCTTTCTCTTTCTTTCCTTCTTTCTTCCTTTTTTCCTTCCTTCCTTTTGTAAGACCCTGTCTTTACGAAAAAAAATTTTTCGAAGAATTAGCTGGGCATGCTGGCTTACATCTGTAGTCCTAGCTACTTAGAAGCCTGAGGTGGGAGGATCACTTGAGCACAAAAGTTCAAGGCTGCAAGTGAGCTATGATCACACCACTCTACTCCACCCTGGGCAAGAGAGCAAGTCTCAAAATAAGTACATCAATTAAATGAAAACAAAAGAATTGGCCAGGCATGGTGGCATGCACCTGTAGTCCTAGCTATTTGGGAGGCTAAGGTGAGAGGTCTGCTTGAGCCCAGGAGTTCACGGCTGCAGTGAACTATGATCAAGCCGCTGCATTTCAGCCTGGGCGACAGAGTGAGACCTTGTCTCAAAGAAAAGAAAAGAAAAAAGAGAAGAAAAGAAAGGGAAGTGGAAGGAAGTGGAAGGGAGGGGAGGGGAGAGGAGAGAGGGGAAGGGACAGCAGAGAAGGGGAGAGCAGGGGAGGGGCGAGCAGGGGAGGGGAGGGGCGAAAAGTGCCATTGGAAAGATAGTTTGTGGCCAGACGGTGGCTGACATCTATAATCCCAGCAGTTAGGGACACCAAGGCAGGTGGATCCCCAGAGGTCAGAACTTTGAGACCAGCCTGACCAACATGGTGAAACCTCATCTTTACTAAAAATACAAGAAAGTTAGCTGGGCATGGTGGTGGGCACCTGTAATCCTAGGTAGTCAGGAGGCTGAGACAGGAAAATTGCTTGAACCCAGGAGGCGGAGGTTGCAGTGAGCTGAGATTGTGCCACTGTACTCTAGCCTGGGCAACAGAGCGAAACTGTCTCAAAAAAAAAAAAAGAAAAGAAAAGAAAAGATAGTTTGTTACTCAAATTTCCCCAAAAAAGGGAGTACACCAAGGTGGGCCACACAGGAAGCACCACAGTTGATGGGCAGGCAGAGGGAGAGGGAGGAACAGTGGGCGAGGGCCTCTATTGTGGTTTCCAAGGCTGGGCAGGCCAGGATTAGGACTGAATAATTAAAGTGGATTCTGGGGCACAGGCTGCCCCTAGTTGTCTGGTGCATGGCCCTGGAGAGATTAGGGCAGGTGGAGTATAAGAGCAGATTAAAGAATGGGGTTCAGGGGTTTGGGATTAGTTGACTTGCATTTGAAAAGCATGCTTTCGCTGGTCAGGTGCTGTGGGTGGTGGTTCACGCCTGTAATCTCAGCACTTTGGGAGGCCAAGACAAGCAGATCACGATGTCAGGAGATGGAGACCATCCTGGCTAACACAGTGAAACCCCATCTCTACCAAAAACACAAAAAATTAACCAGGCGTGGTGGCACGCACCTGTAGTCCCAGATACTCAGGAGGCTGAGGCAGGAGAATCGCTTGAACTCGGGAGGCAGAGGTTGCAGTGAGCCAAGATTGCGCCACTGCACTCCAGCCTGAACGACAGAATGCGACTCCTCCATTTAAAAAAAAAAACAAACCAAAAAAGCATGCTTTCAGAAGAGTTATTTACTATCATGGCTGGATGAGATGGTTCATGCTTTCATCCTAGCACTTTGGAAGGCTGAGTCTGGTGGATCATTTGACATCAGGAGATGGAGACCAGCTCAGTCAACATGGTGAAATCCCATCTCTACTAAAAATAGAAAAAGAATTAGCCAGGCATGGTGGCACGTAGGTGTAATCCCAGCTACTTGGGAGGCTGAGGCAGGAAAATTGCTTGAATTTAGGAGGCAGAGGTTGCAGTGACTGGAGACGGTGCCATTGCACGCCAGGCTGGGCGACAAGAGAGACTCTGTCTCAAAAAAAAAAAAAAAAAGAGTTATTTACTATCTATAGGGACTAGGTAACCCTGGGAGGGTGAGTCCCTCAATGGTCAACAAGGCCCCAGATTACAGAGCATTGGAATACAGAAAATAAATGACATGGTTAATCCACCCCCTGTGGCCAGCACTGAGCAAACAGCTCTCATCTTTGCATTTTCACAATCCTCAGGCCGACTGTGCTTAACTTCAAGTTCCAGATAAGAAAACCGAGGCACAGTTGGGGGAAGTAACTTGGCTGAAGTCATGCAGTTAAGAAGAGCAGGGGCTGGGATTCAAACCCAAGTTCAAAACCACCTCGGCTACTTGGAATCCTGGCAAATTAAAAAGGCTGTGACAATGTCAAGTCCCGGTGAGGATGTGAAGTCACTGTAAACTCTCTTCATCTGCCAGTGGAAGCGTAGATTGGTACTAACACATGGGGAACTCTGGCAGACCTAGTAAAGCTAAACGTATTCTTTCCTTGCCATCCGGCAGCTCCATTCCTGGGTGTCTATCCAGCACAAATGTGTGTTCAAATAGACTGAAAGACATTGACAGAGACGTTCACAGAAGTTTTATTTGTAATGGCCAAAGACTGGAGAGCATCCAAATGTCTAATGATAGGAGAATGGAGAAACTGAGTATGGTGCATTCACACAATGGATTACACACAGCGATGGCCATGAATGAAATATTGCTGCACACACATGGATCACTCTCACAATGTTCAGCAAAAGAAACAGGCACAGAAGAGGACACATCATCCATTCCACTTACAGTTGAAGTTCTAGAGCAGGCAAAAACTAATTGACGTGATAGAAGTCAAAGTGATGATTCCCTTGAGGGTGCAGATCATTATTAACTGAGAGGGCCTCAGGGGAGATGGAGATGTTCTTTTTTTTTTTTTTTTTTTTTCTTTTTTTTGAGGTGGAGTCTCGCTCTGTCACCCAAGCTGGAGTGCAGTGGTGAAATATTGGCTCACTGCAACCTCTGCCTCCTGGGTTCAAGTGATTCTCCTGACTTAGCCTCTCCAGTAGTTGGGATTACAGGCACACATCACCAGCCTCGGCTAATTTTTGTATTTTTAGTATAGATGGGGTTTCATCATGTTGGCCAGGCTCGTCTCGAACTCCTGACAGGTGATCCATCTGCCTTGGCCTCCCAAAGTGTTGGGATTACAGGTGTAAGCCACTGAGCTCAGCCGAGATGTTCTAAATCTTGATCTGGGTGGAGGTTGCAGAGGTCTGTGTGTGTGTGCCCGCACGCGCAGGGGCATACATACATATACATAAAATCACCAAGCTATACACTTAAGATTTATGTACTTTACTGTATGCTAGTTGTACCTCAATAAAAATGTAAGTTTCTACCTGCTGTAACTGCTTGTGAAGACTTCTGGGCTCCTGTTCTCAGATGGCCTTGTGGAGCCAGGACCCTGATATTTGGGAAGATAGGGCCTGGCCATTGGCCCCAGTTCTGCCCCTCCTTCCTCAGTCAATAGGCTGATTTGCATGCTCTGTTGTGGTCCAGTGGCCTTCCCAGCCCTGTACCCCAAAGCACCTGGAGCATATAGTTTTGCAGAACTTCTCCTTGCCTGCCTCCCTGCCTCTGGCCATGGCCTGCTGGTGCCTCAGCCTCCTTCTGATGGGGACCTTCATGTCAGGTGAATCCTCCCTGGGCCTCACTCACCTGGGTGTGGGGTGGGGAACCATACTGGCCCCAGAAGGCCCCTTCATGGAGGCAAATCAATGGGGATAGTAGCGCAGGTCCTGGGAGGGATATTAAGGTAGAGGGGAGACCTGGTTTCAGGCAGCTCTGCCCTTGACCTGGGGCAAATCACTTCCCTGTGTGAGCCTTGG